ATGATGTCCCAGGACAAGAAACAATTTTAGCTTACATGAAGAAATGAGAGAATGGCTCAAACAAATGACCAAGATACAGAGAAGAAAATGTTTCTGAGATCAGAAGACGGAGCCACAACCAGGCTGATACAGGGATACAGCGCTAAATACCATGGAGTGGCATCAGGAAAAAGAGGTGTGACGGATTTTTTTTTTTCACTTTTCTTTCCTCCTCTACCCTGTTGCACACTCACTGCCCAGCCTGTACACCTTCAGGCTGGTAGGCAAGCACCCCCAAAAGGGTCCAGCGTTGCACCCACAGTTTTCCCACGGCATAAGGAGGAGGCTCCTGGGAGCCCCATTGGTCCCACAGCCTGATCCTTTGATGGCTTCTTATGACATCTGACTCTGGGACTCAGCCCTAAAGTTGACTTGAGCAGGGCCCTTTATACCTGCTTTACCTAGCAAGACAAAGCAGGTCTGGCCAGACAGCCAAACCGTATGTGAACCTTGTAAAACCCAACATAAAAGGCTAGAGCCAACACCAACTATTATATACAAGGACGCAGCTATTTTGAGACTTACACTGTGCAAACGCATATACCTAACTAACCTTCAAAGATAAAATATATTGGACAATCTTTGTTCCATTCATTTCTCAATATCTATCTGTGCACCTCCACGACAGTGACTAGAGGAGGGGCCCTGAGCGAGTGGACACCCCCAACCACCACTGGAGGTTTCTACGGTGCACGCACACTGACCTGCACAACAAAGGCTACTGGACAGTCAGCTATGGTTTTATTTTTGTTCTTGAGTGGTGGTTTTTGTCTCTGCTATTATATTGTTTGTTTTTGGTACTTTTGGTCTCACTTTTTTTCACGGGGTGGGAGCTTTCTCCCTATATTTTACTCAAGAAGAGACAGCAATCATGCCCATATAGCCAAGCTACAAGCATACTCCATAATAACCCACCATCTGGACAGAAGCCAATACCAGCTGCTAGGCATTACACATGAAAAGGGAAGCCTATCTCCAAATCACATCCACCAGGAGATACTCAGTAAGCTTAATAACACAACCACATACATTCATTTAATCATTAAAAATGCACCTAAATACTGAAAATGTCCAAGAAAAACAACAACAAAAGATTTCAGCACATGTCCCAAAGCAGAAAAGAGTAACTGAGATAAATGAGTTGGAGGCAGACATAGACTCCCCACTAGAACAAGAGCAGGCTTTGGCTCTGCCTGAGAAGGAATTCAGAAGAATGATATAAAGACAAATTCAAATGCTCCATAGAGGGGTGGAGGAAAATAACGAAGAAGTCAGGAAAGTGCTCCAGGAGTAATCAAACAATATAGCATTGGAAACAATTCAAAACCTGCAAAAAGAGGTCCAGATGATTAATAGTAAAATATCAGAAATGGACAAAACACTGAAAGGGCAAAGGAGTAGAACTGAAGAGATGGAAGCCAGAAAATGTTTCTGAGGAAGAAAAGGCAATGGAACTAACTGAAAAAGAATGATATTTAAGTGCCTTCAAAGGATATACAGAAAAAAACTTTGGAAGAATTCAGGAAAACACTACAAAGAACTAACAGACAAAAAGAAATGTAAATTTTGAAAAAAATACAAAACCTGCAATTAGAAATCCAGAAGATCAATACTAAGATTTCAGAAATGGACAATACAGTAAAAGGATAAAGGAGTAGATTTGAAGCAATGGAAGCCTGAATTAGCTTGAAGATAAATCTTTCAATACTAGTATGCTAGAAGAAAATCAGAAAAGAATCCAAAGAAAGCACTAGAGTTATTATGTGAGATATCATAAAGAGGAACAACTTACAGGTAATTGGAATTATAGAACAGGAAGAGAAAATAAAAAGTACAGGGGAGATTGTCAGAGTTGTTGGAAGAAAACTTCGCTCACATTACGAAAGATGAGAAGATAAGCATATGAGAAGCTGAATGAACCCCAAACAGGAAAAATTACAAAAGAAAATCACTAAGACATATCATTCATTAAACTTTCCCAATTGAAACACAAGGAAAGAATCCTGAGAGCAGCTCAGGAAAAAAGAAAAGTTACCTACAAATGAGAATCAGTAAGACTAAGCTCTGACTTCTCAGCAGAAAAAGAAGGCAATGGGATGACATACACAAAACTCTGAAAGAAAAAAAAAAAATCCGTCAACCAGAACACCAAGCAAAGCTGTCTTTCAAATATGATGGTGAAATTAAGACATTTTCTGATAAACAGAAATTAAAAGAATTTTTAACGACCAGACCAACTTTACAAAAAATTCTAAAGGGTGTTCTTTGGACTGAGAACCAACAACCTGAGATTACCATAAATTACAACACCTTCCAGAACTCAATCCAAATATAGAACCACATAAAGTAAAACAAACCTACAAGCCTGAAAATAAGGAACCAGAGTTAGCAATTTAAAATGAAGCCAACAACAAAGAAGGAAAAAAAAAAAAGGGGGAGGGCATAGGGAAGACACAGAACTTGCAAATGGCAAGAAAGTCAAGTAGATTTCAAGATAAAACAGACATTTTAAATAGGGTAAAAAGTAATAAATTACAGGGTAATCTCAAGAAATTTAATGCACCTGCACATCAAAATAAAAAAGAGGAAAACTGAATGATTTGGTAAACATTAACAGAACAGAAATTAAAATGAAAAGAAACCCCACAAATAAAATGAACTCAGCACAGAAAATGATGTGGAATAAAGAAAAATGCAGCAACACCCAAAAACACATAGCAAAATGACCGTGATCAATTCATATCTATAGATAATTACACTGAATGTAAATGGATTAACTGTACCAGTCAAGAGACAGCAGAATGGAGAAGAAAACAGGATATTTGGATATACTGTCAACAATAAACACTTTAAAAAGATGGAGACAGCCTAAATGCTCATCAGCAAAACACTTCAACAAACTTTGGTACACACACAATGGACTGCTGTGCAAAGTTGAAGAATTATGATGAATCTGTGAAACACTTGATAACATGGATGAACCTGAAGGGCATTATACTGAGTGAAATTAGTCAAACGCAAAAGGACAAATATTTTATGAGACCAATGTTGTAAAAAGTTAAGAAATGGTTTCATTGACAAATGAAACAATCAAGGATGGTTAAGGGGGACGGAATTATTCATGGGCTAGAGGGTAAACACTTTAACATGGGTAACAGGGCAGGCAATATACAAATAGAGAGGAAAGATGAAGGTAGCAGGAGAAAGAGGGAGGAGTGCAAGAGTTAAAGTCAATAGAGATTAAGTACTGTTAACATTGGTACAAGGAAGGGATCACAATCATTGTAATGAAGCAAAGTATATGATTTGCTGAATGGAAAACTGCTGTTCTACTCTTTAAACCTTCACTCCATTCACAATAAAAGGATTGTTAAAAAAAATTTTTAAGTGGAGAAAATGTATCATCTCTTAACTTTCTCCTCATTAACAAGTTTATTTTCTCCTTCACAAACTCATCTAACCTTTTACAAAAGCCCTAGAATTGTAATTTAGTTTTCAACGTCAATGAACTACTTTCTGTTCCTTAATTCTCATTTTTGTAAAAGTTTTTTCCTCTGCCTGAACACTTTGCACTTTACGTACTCATCCTTTAGTTCTCAAGAGAAAAATCATCCTTTTGAGAACACCTTCAGAGTTTGTAAAATCTCAGAGAGAGGCCTTTATTCAGTATACCCACAACACTCACTCCACCCTAATACTGATCAAGAGAGTCCAATTATATTGATTATCTTTGTTACCCCAGTATCTGGCAACAACAAATATTTGCTAAACAAATTAGCTGAAAGCAGGTATTAAATTATGTTCACCACCTCCATTTCATAAAAATTTAAGCCTTAATGTTAAACATTGCTGGCTATTCTTTTAATAGACAATGAAACTAAGTCACAGAAAGGGAATTTTAATTGCCCAAGTTTCCAAAGCTGGCAAATTAAGAACAGTGAATACAGATCCTGGGCTCCAAGTCAGGAGCTATTTGTACTGTACCATGCTGCCCAATTTTAAATACTATTTGACACTACTCAGATGGGGCAAACGAAAATGTCCAGAGTAAGGAAAATCTGGATAGACCATTTGGTTATTATCCCTTTTCTCCAGAGAGAAAAAACTGGCGCCTGGGACAGTCTAATTGATAAGGATTTGGCATTTTCCTAGGAAAAAGGATTTCACTGGAGCCTAACAACCTACTCCAGAGGCTAAACTATAAAGCCAGAAGGATTTCACTGGAGCCTAACAACCTACTCCAGAAGCTAAACTATAAAGCCAGAAGGATTTCACTGGAGCCTAACAACCTACTCCAGAAGCTAAACTATAAAGCCAGAGGACAAAATTCGGCACCTATAGACAAACAGCTCTTTATATTACACTTCATATTCTATCAACTTTTCAGTCCTCCCGCTTCCCCGTTCGTTCTGCCAATGCACATTCCAAAGTTCCTTCCCGCCTCAGTCCCGAACGGGTCTCACTGTATAATCTCCTCGCTGACATTTAGGTCGAATGTTTTCCGTAACTGTTGGGTACACCATCGAACCAGCTGCTCCTGGGACGCCACCGCAGCCACCGCCATCTTCCTCAGCCGGAACCGGCTGGGCTGCAAAAGCCCCGCGTCCTGCGTGGGAATAGTTCCCTACACAACATTGGCCTCGCTCGCTAGGGTTCCGCCAGTAGGAACAGCCCAGCGTTGTCGTGCTATAGCCAACACCAAACCTGGCCACCTCTTTCTTTTTCCTTGTTTACACTTGTCCCCGAGCTCATCTGGGCGTGATTCTTCCATAGTCAGGTGCAGGACTCAAGTCTTGGTGTGGCTCTGTAGGATAAGCACAGTACTGCTAGTCACAAGGTTGGTGGTTCAAACCTACCAGCGATCCTGGTAAGTTTATATAGGGTCGCAATGAGTGGCACTTAAAACAACAGGACTCAATGAACACTATTGGGAACTCTGCAGGGAAATCAACTACCTATAATAACATTTTAGGAGAAAAGTACCCGAGGATCTGGGAAGCCGACTTTTTAATTGACATAATTTATTTAAAACAACACTTGGCAAAAGTAAGTACTATAAGTATTTGCCCTGGATGTTGTTATTATTAACATCCCCTGTAGTCTAATATTAGGATCCCTGTTGTTACAGTGCTTAAAGCGTTCAGGTTCTAATGAAAGGTGAGCAAATGGACCTCACCAGCTGCTCTACTATGCGGGAGAACAATGTGGCAGCCAGCTTCGGTAAAGATTGATAGCCTTTGATACTTCGTGGAGAGGTTTTACTCTGTCCCACAGGGTTGGCGCTGTTGGATCAGCACTAGATTGCGAACCACAAAGCCGACAGTTCAAACTCACCAGCTGCTCCTCCGAAACTCTACACAGGGTTGCTATGAGCCTTGAATCAGCTCTTAACAACAACAATAGGGTCTCTAAGAATGAGAATTGGCTTAATGGCGGTGGGTGGGCTTAACCTCTTTCCAGGAGGGCCAAGACAATTTAACAACCTCAAGCGTGAAAAAGCTTTAGTAACAGGTGCTGAGATTTCATTCTGAAATTGTTTCACGTGAGTCCTCGATAGTGATTATTAAGAAATGAAAACTGACCAGATTAAGAATCTCCTGCAACTCCATAACCCTTCTGAGACAGAAGGGTAATTTTAGCCAATTTTTTTTGTAGAGCATCTCTTTTGATTAATTTAATTGTCTGACTTTGCTTCACCTTCATAGGTGAAGAGTTCTTCAGCCCCATTAGGCTGAATGCTGTTTCCCCTTTTTATGCTAATGGAATAAATAATCAAATCATATAAACATATTGATTTAAATTGAATTCACATTATATTTGTTGTAAATTGGAAAATAACTTTCCATCTTAAAAAAAAAACACTATATTAATAATAGGTACAAATTTTTGCTTCTTCATGAAACTCTGCTACATTTTAAATACTGATTAATGTATTCAAATGGTTTAGTTCTATATCTATTCAAACCCCATAACTAGACTGTTAACTTCTTGAAGACAGAAACTGCCTTAAGTTGTTTTGCAACTCAACATTTAGCACAGAGATATATGATGATGAAATAACAACAAAACATTGTTAATAATTGTGATCTCCAGTCAAAATGCCATGTACAATTATTATCCAATTTTAAAACACAATTCTTCCAAATAATGCAAGCACAACGTTTAGCATGACTTAAAAATATATTTTGGAAAATAGGCAGAAATGTTTTACAAACCACAACTTTTCTTGAATGCCCTATCGCACTTAGCAACAACAAAGGAAAAGTAAATTATATGTATTTTACTAGTCATCAAACAAAAGATACTTTAGAATTCTTTCTATCAATTTACTTGGCAAGTGGACTGGGAGAAAAGACTAGTAGATTCTCTGGAAAGTTCCAGTCTTTGCAATGATCTGGGATATGAGTTCAAGCTAAGTAACTCAGACCAGTTTAACAACCGCTTTAAAGAGAAAAAGAAATCATTCACATTGAAGAACCCTTGTACATGGAAGTAGGATGTGAAAATCAAGAACAAAGGAATACCCCGGGGCTAGTTGATTTTTCTAATAGGAATTTAGCTGTGGTCTTAGAATCCAGGATTTAGTCCAAACTACAGATAATTTTCAAAAACGGTTCCTACTATTATAATGTAAATTTAACCTGCTGTCTAGGTCCTTTGTTTTTGTAATATAAAGTAGTTGTTGATTCCAGTTAAAGTACCAAGTAGCCTATTTTCTGAATATTCAAGCATAATTTATTGCAGAAAATCAATGCCCTACTTTTCAAGTAAGAATTGAACAGAGTGCATCCTGAGGCACTGGGATGGGTGTTATTAAGGGATGGTATTCAGAAAGTGCAAATTACTCCCCACGGGTGTTATGAGTAGTTAGAAAACAGACACAGGGATAGAACAGCTACCAGCTCCTATTCTAACTTATGTTCGTTGTGTGTCAGGGTGAAGGTCCATATCTTGGTTTATTCATAATTCAGCAGATTTTAAATGGTTCTGAAACGATGCAGTTGGTTCTTTTTATATGTGTATGTATATACAATTCAGTTAGTTTTTCTTCTAGTCTGTCATCATCCTAAAAACATCCAAAAGCCCTGTAAGTAGATTGTATTCGCTTTCTTTTCTCTCTTGTCACAGAACTGTTTTATCATGGATGCTCTAGAAACATCTACTGCTGGGACGTAAAAAAAAAAGTTATCTTTATTTTGATTTGTATCCAAAAACTGGCTAAATTTCAGGTTTTACTTTCAGGAGTCAACCATTATGGATTTGAACCTGAAATAACTTGATTAAACATAGAAATTCGCTGTCTTTGTTTGCTAGGTTTTCTTTTCTCAGCAGGCTCCTTTCCCGGGTTCAGAACATTTACACCCACACATTGAGCACCCCGGGAAAGCGTCCTGGTACCGCCTATCGGGGGGTGGCTACGAATCACAGGCCTCTGGGAGTGGATGGACAGGTTGGTGCAGCGTGGACTCCTGCTGCTGTCACCGCTGGTCACTCACGATTGGTCCGAGGAATGTGGCGTGGAACCAATGGGAGCAGCGACTCAGGGGAACCCGTGGAGCGCGCGGGAAAGAGAACCATATAAACGGTGGCGGGAGATTCGGTTTGGATTCTTGTCCAGTGAAACAACCTCAGTTGGGAAGACGGTTTGTTGTTTTTAATCTCATATATATTAACCTCGTGTCTATTCTGGTTTCAACATGGTGCGTACTAAAGCAGACAGTGTCCCAAGCACCTACCGAAAAGGTGAGGCACTGGAGGGCGGTTGTGGAGGGCTGAGGCTCCCCTAGAAGCCAGGCCATGGGCGGGAGAAGCAGGGCCCCTTTGGGCTCGGTGTGCCGCCCTTCACTGGCTGGACAACGAGCGATGGCGCCATAACCTGCGGGGAGCGAGGGGCAAGGGTGGTGCAGGTGATCTTGCTGCTTAGCATCATGAGGCTCATCTCTCCAAGCCTCTAGGTTAGGGACTGTGATAAGGACATGGTTCCGAAGCTTGGCATCCGAGCCTCCCTGTCCTCTTTTTAACGTCCTCCTTTGACTCTCTTCACAGTGGTAGCTTCTCGAGCCCCCAGGAAGGTGCTTGGCTCCTCCACTTCTGCCACTAACTCCACGACTCCTTCATCACGAAAAGGTAAATGCATCCCTGCAAGCTACTGGATTAAGAGGAACCCTCCTCACAAAAGGGAATCAAACCTGGTACTATAGTCCTGGCCCAAAGCCCCCATCCTCACCCGCCTTGGATTTTATTTGCCTTGAGATTCTCATTCTCGCACTCGAATTTCTTCCTGTCTTTGGATATAATGAGGGGGCCTTGACTTTTTGGCGGGCTAGGATCTCATGGAAGAGAATCTCAAGCCTTGGAGTTACAGATGGATACAGTTTAACTTCAAACCTTTTTTCTCTTTTGGTTTAGCACTTATTTTTCTTAATATCAATAGATTTTTTTTTTTTTTTCCTTGTAAGAGGCTACTTAAGCGCACCATCACTAGATTAAGAATCAGCACCATGGTTGACAGTGCTGATCACATTGTCTTCTTAGTGTAACCCCCTTTTCTGTTGTTTCTGCACATTTTTCTCAAATACTCAACTCTGATAATGAAGTTTGCTACACTGCTTCCTAATGTAAAGGTGGTAATGTACTATGTATTGTAAGATCAATTAGTGAAAGCACACAAAATAAGTCAAAATAAGTATACAGCAATGTGAAAGTTTCCACAAAAATTGGTTTCATTTTTAGAAGCATTTGACTCCTTTCTTTCAGGTTCATAAAGTAAATGTAAATTCAATTCCTGATTATCTTTTAAGAGAAACATGAAGGGAAAATTGAAGGGAAATCCTTGCCCCTTTACAAAAAAATACTTAAGAGAAGACTAATTGTTATTGTTGTTAGGTATCCTCAAGTCAGTTCCTACTCACAGAGACCCTGTATAGGGTTTCCAAGGAGCAGCTGGTGGGTTTGAACCCTTGAAATTCGATATTAAAGGAAGAAAAGAAAATATCTCTTTAAGGAATGACAATAATATTCATAGTTATTTAGTTACATTCGCTTATGTTTTACAGCTGAAAATAAGTATGCAGGAGGGAATCCAGTTTGTGTGCGCCCAACTCCCAAATGGCAAAAAGGGATTGGAGAATTCTTCAGTTTGTCTTCTAAAGATTCAGAAAAAGAGAACCGGATTCCTGAAGAAGCAGGAAGTAGTGGCTTAGGAAAAGCAAAGAGAAAGTAAGTTTTTATTTAGTGGAATATTAAGAAAAGACTCCTATTCTTTAAAGAACAAATGGAATATGGAGTAACTGCGATATCGTCTCAAACTGAAATATAAACCAAAAGTTTTTAAAATTTTCTAGTAAATATTGTATAAATCATTCCCCAAATTTCAAACATAATGTAAAAGATATTATTTTTACCCATTGCATTCACTCAAAACATAGCAGTTCCCATTCAAATGATAAAAGTGCTATATTATTAACTATGAGCTTCCTGTCTTTATCCTTTAATTTTCAATATCAGCTGTCTCTATATACATCTATGTTATTGTTGTTAAGTGCCATCTAGTTGGTTTCAACCCATAGAGACCCTGTATAGGGTTTCTGAGGAGCGGCTGGTGAACTTGAACCACTG